AATTTTTTTAAAATAAAATATATAAAAAGAAGGTAATTGATTGAGTAATTGTTGGTGGTTATTCAAAGAGGGTGAGAGGTTATAACGTGAAGGGCTAAAAAAGTTTTGATTTTCTAGTTTTTTTTATTCTTAGCAATCAAGTTGTAGAATATCTAATAAAAAATGAAAATCAAAACGGTTTACTAGGAAAATATTTCCTTTATATAAAGTATAGAAGATAATTTACAATAAATAAATACTTTTGAATACTTAAATTATTTTATAATTAAAATTTATAATAATTTTTAGGGGTCACGAATTCATATCAATTCCAAAAACTAATGAATAATCCAAAAAAAAAAAATCGGATTGGTTTGGATTAGTTTGAAAAAATGCATATACAATAAATTTGAATAAGATTACGGATTTTGATACTGAAAATTCTGTCTAATCCAATTGGACAATTGTTATATATTATTCTTTATATTTTTATAAGGATTTAAAATTATCCATAATAAAATAGAGTTTGGACTAAAAGGTTAGTCAAACTTTTCATAATAAAACCTTAAACCCTAAAAAAATACTTCGTGTTTCCATGTATTTTATTTATTAAAAAAATTATAAAGATAATTAAAGTTAAATATGTGTGAGTGATGAACAATTAGCATGTGTGACAATTTTGAAAAATTAAATTTCATAGAAGTGGAGAAAAAAGAATAAAAATTAAGTAAATAAAGTATGGGAGAGAAAAAGTGTTTAAAATTTAAGGAAAAAATCGTCAATTAAATGTGTACATTTATTAATAGTGAGCTTAAATATGATTTTAGTCTTTACAAAATGAAGAACTTTGATTTTGGTTCTTGTAAAACTTTTTCTTTGTTTTCATCCCTCTAAATTTTAGAACTATTATTTTTAAATCCTATTATTATGTAATTATTTTTAATTACTTATTTATTATTAAAAGGTTAAGTCATTATTGTAGGTCTCATCTATAATTATTAATAATATCATGTTAGTATGTAACACTTTTAAAAAATTTATAAGTTCTTAAAATAAATATCTTTTATCTACCTTAAAATTATTATTAGAGGCAAAAAATAGTGATTTTATATTTTAGAGGAATGAAAATAAAATAAAAATTACAGTAATCAAAATCAAAATTTACTCATTTCACAAGATTTTAAAATATTTTATAAGGATCTAAAATAATATTTACAACTTTTATAAAAAAAATTACAGGATCAAAATCAAAACTCATTCATTTTATTAGACTAAGTATATTTAAGTCTTAATAGTATATATTATAACACTATAATCAACGGTTCATAGACCTACATATATTTCTATAATTTTATACTTTTATTCTCCCTCAATTTGTTAGGGTTAGAGACTTAGAGTAATTAAGTGTATGCATGTTATAACTATTCACAATGTATAAGAATGAATATAATAATGTTAATAATTTTAATTTTCCAACTTTTAATCTAAAAAAAAAATAAAAATGACACAAAGTCAATCTAAACCGATCAGGATTATCCTAATCCTAAGATATAATTTATCTAAAAGAAAAATATTTTTCTTATTTATATTTTTATTTGTACTATTATGTATATACTCGTTCTATTGTGGTGTAAAGAAGACAAAGACGATGATCACTCTCCCTCATATTCTATACCTCCCTGATGATTTGGTCACATAAATCTTGTTGAAATTGCCGGTGCAATCACTATTGTGTTTCAAGTGCGTATGTAAATCATGGTTTTCTCTCATTTCTCATCCTAAATTCGCCAAATCTCATTTTGAGGTAGCTGCTGCACCCACCCACCGACTTCTTCCTAGATATGTTGAGTGTTCTAAAGTTAATTCCATCAACTTAGATTCATTACTTCACGATCATTCACCGGACACAGTCTTTAATGTTCCAATTTCGACACGAGCTTCCAAATGCAGATGCTTGGTAAGCATTGTGAGTTCTTGTAGAGGATTTGTACTCTTAAGCAACATGTGTCGTGACTGTTTTTATCTTAATGTATGGAATCCATCAACTGGTCTCCATAAACGAATCAATAATGTGCCAATGTCGATGCTAGATGCACATCTATTTGGTATTGGATATGACTCATCAAGTGATGACTACGTGGTAGTGATCATAACGTTGTCACGAGGAAGTGAAAGGTTGTGCACCGAGGTTCATTGTTTTACCCTTAAGACCAATTCATGGAACTGCATTGAGAGCACTGTTTTGTATGATTATGTTGGGTGTCCACTTGAACAAGGCTCGTTCTTGAATGGGGCTCTTCATTGGGTGGTTAATAAATCTTATGATGATGTTTGGGTTATTATTGCTTTTGATGTGATGGAAAAGAGATTATCAGAGATTCCACTGCCACGTGATTTAGCTAGATCAAAATCAATATATCATGTAAAAATAATGGGAGAATGTCTTTGTTTGTACTCAGTAAGGAGTGAACCATGGATAATGAAAGAATACAAAGTGCATTCATCTTGGACCAAGTTATTTATTCTGCGTTCTAATTATTATCCTCATTCTGGTTTTTTCAACCAGCATGTGGATATTGTTCGCTTTGGACGCAGTCCTCACGGTATTTATTCTGGTTCTAATTATTATCCTCATTCTGGTTTTTTCAACCAGCATGTGGATATTGTTTTTTCAACCAGCATGTGGATATTGTCCGCTTTGGACGCAGTCCTCACGGTTTTGCTTCTGGCAATGGCACGCATGCCACCCCAAAACGCGTCCACACAAGGAAGGTATCCACACCCATATATATGGCATGTTTCGTTCTCCTTCCTAACCGATGTGGGACTTCACACCGGGTGGAAGACTTTTGAGACTTGATAACAAAGGAGAGCTTCACGCGCATGGAAACAACGAGATAAACAGATTTAGTTTACTGTACTCTATCATGTATAGAGAGAGTTTGTTATCACTTTCGGCTCATTTTGAGAAAAGTGTTTAGTTTGTTTACTTCGTCAACCATGGTTATTTAATTTGGTTTGTTTTATGCTTTTTAGTCTTTGTTTTACTCAGAAATAGGGAAGATAAATTTAATCACCATTTCTCAAAACTATACTTCCATATAATTTAGTAGGATATGCACGTAATTTAGTCTTCAATATATATCTGCAGCATATCTCATTCATATGATAATGTTTAACTTAGTCACGCTATAATTTTGTAATCGTTCTACGCATGGGGAGATTAATTATAGAGAACAAAATTCAAATTGGGTTACTTTTTAATTTTATTTTAAATTTATAATAAATATTTTTTTTTAAATCAGATTTAGTTTAACAGCTTTAAGTTTCGTTACGTTTTGACCGATAGTTCTTTGGACTTAACAAGTTTGTTTTCTTCGAAGTTTTGTAGTTGCCACTCAATTGTTTTTTTACAAGTTTTACTGTTGCCACACAATGTTTTTATAACAGATTTTAGGATGTGTATTCATGATTTTAAAAATTGGACCGGTCATTAAACTAGTTAGGGTATTAGGTTAGTGGGTCAAAGGTTGAAGCGGTAGATCATTAATTAAATTATATGATTCAGTTTTTATTAATTTTTCTAAAAATATATTCATGTTAAATATATTTTATACTTATAAATTTCAATAAATTCATATCCTATCTTAAATTTCAATTTTTATCTTATTTAAAATTATCTTTATTTTTATTTTGTATAAAAAATACTTTAAAAAAATTATTTTAAATTTTTTTTTTGTTGAATTGGTTCGACCTACCGGTTTACTAGTTGAACCGAAAAACTGACCGGTTCACTCTAATTTAAAACGGGTCGAATGCATAACTGATCCAACTCAAGATTCAGACCAGCTGGACCACCGGTTACCGGTTCGACCAGCCGGTTTGATCCGATTTTTTAAACATTGTGTGTACTATATATCGTAAAATAGGAAAATTATTAAATACCAAAGCAAATAAAACGAATGACAAAATAAAAGTGTGGGAAGATAACAACATTTTTTTTTTAATTGTGAAGGATATAGATAAAAATAATAATTTTACAGAAGGTAAAAATTATAAGAAAAATATAATTCTCTAGTTTTTCATATATTTTATTTTTAAATTTGAGACTCTTAAATTATATTTTATTATTCTACTTTACCAAATTACCAACAGATTGGGAATAAAAAACTCCTTAACTGACTTTTAAAATAACACTGAAAAAAATGAATTCTACAAAAAAAAAAAAAAAAACTTTTGTTTTTAAGTGGAAGTTTACTAAAATGTAGAAGAAAGAAGTTAGTAGGTAGTTAAAGAGTTAGATGCAAGCATGTGGCATGGAGAGTTAAAGAAGAGAGTTTGAAGGGTAGGTGAGACGCCCAAGTGGACTGTTTTAAAACACAAAATAGCTAAGATAACTCTTGACATAATAAATGTATATATTCTACAAAATGAAACTCTCAATTTTTTTATTTTCTACATTGTATGTGTTTTTCATTTATGAGATTTGATTACCAATTATATATTTAATTTTTTATGATATCTAAGATAACTCTTGACATAATAAATGTATATATTATGGTATTGTGGAAATTTTAATTTTAATTTAATGATATTTATTATTTTTTAAATTTGTATTTATTAATTTCTTTTATATTTTATAATATTGATATACATATATTTTATTAGTCGATGACATGAAAGTATATTTTATATCGATAAATATGCATAAATTAAATATTTATTATATATAATTAAAAAATTTAATAAATTATATATAAATAAATATTATATCTAGTATATAAATTATATTTAAAATTTATATA